CTGGGAAATCCTCTGCTTAGGAAAATCCAGCTAATGACATGAGGTATTAAGATATCCTTTGAAAACTTTGAGTTATGCGAGAAGAGCAGCATAGATGAGAGTATTCACCCATTAAAATGCATTTAAAGAGAAAAGATTTTATTATGTTTGTCATTTGGACATAGTTCTCTGTACCGATTTTGTATTTTATATCAAACTATCAACTTCTCATTTCGTCACAAAGAAACCTAGCATGCAAAACAACTGAGATACACGCCCCCCCAACAAACACAAAGACAAGTGCAGACACATATGTTAAAGATTAACATATTAAGACACATATTAAAAGATTAAACACAAATTTTGCAGACAATTATTTGTTTGAAGATACCATTAGGTAGAACACAGATCATAACATCTGAGTAAGGCTTGACAGAATGCATTCTAATAAGAGTTTTAAATATAGCATCTGATTGGTTAATGTTTTTAAAATAGTCTTTAGCAAAAAGTTGAATTACTACCTTCGCAGTTCAACAGCTCGTCGTATTCTTTCCAATCGAACCATGTGTTCTCGCAATCTCTGTTCCTTCATCTTTTCAAAAGGCAAGATATCCTTTCTACCCCTGTATTCCCTGAATTTCACTTTATCTTGAATAATACGCTCTTTGTTCCTCAATATCTGTGGCTATAGACAGAGATTACAATGGTTATTTCAGAAGTCTCATTCATTTAGGGAGATTTCTGGATGCTATTTTCATCTTAGCTATTTCAAAGCATACAAAGCTTCCGATCTATCTAAGCTTAACACAGTTTGTAATTAATTGATTTTTCATTGAAGGCTATCAACTGTAAAGTAGCATTAAATCAGAAAAGGACTGTGCCAAATCTACAGATACTTACTTTATCAAACCTTCCCCTTCTAACTGTCCTCGTGTGGCCTTGGTCTCCTTTTGTTTGATCTAGGACTACAACTTGACCTGGGCTTTTACTACCTAGTGAGAAGGAGGGGGAAAAAAAAAAAAAAAAAAAGGAGAGAGAAAGAGAGAGGGTTTAAAACAGACAAATATCCTTAGTTGCCTATTATAGATTTTTCTTGATTAAGTTTTTGAATCTTTAAACTAAAGTGTTCCTGGTAGGAAAAGCATGCCAGCACACATCTGTGTAGTTTAGTAGTTATACAAAATATAGAAGCTTTTACAACAGTTTTTAATTAAAGTAATAGATGTAACTAGAATCTTTTAGAAAAAGAGTACGTGTTTAGTCATCTTGTTTTCTGCAAGAGCAAGAACATGCCCCAAAACCAAGCCAGACACACAGATTCAACAGGAGGAAACACTGCTATATTGCATACTTATTCTTTTCTTTTCTTCATTTTTTTTAGTGGATTCTTGATTAGGGCCACTTGATCCATTATCACTCTTCTCATCTTTACCTTCTGTTTTCTTGGCTTCTTTACTTTCTTTTTTTTCAGATTTCTCAGATTTCTTTTCTTCTTTTTTGGTTGATGGAGTTCTTGTTAGGAGAGAAATACACAAATGCAGTGAGTAAGGTTCAACTTAAATTATTCTCCAGCACTAGAAGATTCATTAAAATCCTTACTTGCTGGTTTTATCACTTGATGCAGTCTTCTTATCTCCCATGTTTCTACCCGAACTAGATTTCTCATCACTTTCTTTCTTCAACTCCTTTTTGGAAGGATCGCCTTTCACCTATATTTTTTCCAAAAGCAAGTTAGGTTAATATATATTATTGCCGAAGGTAGCTTATTTTGTGACAAGTCTTCACCTTATTAAACTTACTTTCTCAACAGAAATTTGTTGTCCATGCAGCTCTGTTCGATGAAGGTGTGCTATACATCTAGCCACTTCTGTACTAGAAGACATAGTTACTATGCCATAACATTTTGCCCCCGGGCTTCGTGCATTTGTAACCACCTTTGCACCAAGTACCTACATAAAGAAGTTATGTTTAGACTTTTAGACACATTTCTAGAAAGGAAGAAATGATACTCAAATATTTTTATACTAGTATCAAACAAAGGAAAAAAAAAAACAAACCCGCAAAGCGAAGTGATGCTCTAAGTTTTCAAAAGCTGCACAGGAGGTTGCAGCTTTTTAAAAAATTTTAAGCATGTAATTACTTAAGTGCTTTTTTCAGACTTACAATTTGATGGATGGACACCTCCCTTTCCCTGCTCCAAAAAGAAAGACTCTTCCTGCCACTGACTGGCAGCTGCTGAAATAAGCTCTATTATGCAGTAATTTATTAATTCTTCAAAGGCCAGTAGCAAACATGTCAACTACGTAACTTCAGCAAACAGCTTTTTGACACCCGCTTCTCAGGTGAACATTAAGTGTGTGTCCCCGCTGCCTGTTAGAGCTTCTAGAACTACCAGAGCAAAATTTCTTAATTTAATTGTGCTCCAATGCAAAAAATTCATCTTTTTAATAACAGGCAATGTTACATTCATTTATTCATATTTTCTATATTTATTTAAAAATAAAACTTGGGCAAATATATGTACTGAGCATCTTTAAAGGAAAAAAAAAAAAAAAAAAAAAAAACAGCCAAAGAATGGAAAGCGCTAGCACATTGTCTCAGGTCTCAACACCTGTCAAGCCAGTAAATAAAATCATCTGCTAAATTCATTGGACTAAATCACATATCCAAAAACTAGTACAGAGAGCTACTATTCAAAGTTCTAAGATTCTAACTAGTTCCTAAGATGTAACAAAGTCATAAGAGCGCTGGTTTATATAAATACGAGGAATTCACACAGGTATCAATAACTTGTTTGACGAAAATAAGGACTATAAACTGTTTTCAAAATAATACTTAGCTCCTATAAATTCTGCAATGTTCTGTGGAGTTCAAGTGTTAAAATAAGTAAAATTCCAGAAAACAGGCTGTAACCAAGTTCATTAAGAGACATTCATAACAGTACCATTCTTGGTCTGTTTTTCCCATTCAGAAATTCTGCAACCACATTTTAGAGTTTCACAATGCAGCAGGTACTGCCAAGGCTGTATATACCACAGTTTTACCAGTTGGCACACTATCTTAAACTCATGGTTCAATACAGTTGCCACACAAGAATAACCATTGTTATTTAATTTCAAAATATTTTCTTTAAACTTAAAGCCAGTCCTGAAAAAAATCATAATACTGACATTACTTTTGTGTCTATCTTACCTCAACAGAAGAAGAATTTCTAAAGAAAAAAAGAATGCTTATGGCTCACTCTGTAAGCATGCGCTCTTATTTTAGGTGCTGGAGTACTGGACTTTTAGTTTATATTGGTTAGACATTTCATCTTAGAGTTGTATTTAAAATGAAACATTTCTGTATTTGAATGGGAAGGCGGGAGAAAGAGAGGAGAGAAATACACAGCACAGAGGGTACGACTCCACATAAAATACCTTTCCATATTTGCCAAAGAGATTTTTCAAGTCAGCAGCTTTTGTGTTGGAAGAGAGTCCGCTCACCCACAGGTTTCTCGTCGAGCTTCCACTGCTACTACTAACACTGCTTGCACTTCCTGAAACAAGTGTTACAGAACAGCCAAAAATTAATTAGGTAGAGGCACCGTGAACACACAACTGAACTGTTACTGAGAAGAATAGCTTAGCCTGTTACTTTTAAGTAACTGTACATCCCGTTACCTTTCTTCGCAAGACTTACATAAAATAATATACACCATAAGATTTCACTCATTTACACAGGTATTGAGATCAACAGTTGGGCTAATTCATACCTCAAAAATAGAGACAGAAAAATTCTATAATCCACTCTTAAAGGCATGCTTTTCCCCTCATTCTAGTATCTACATTTAGTTTCAACTTCTGGTTCTTATTAGTAACTTCCACTGCAAGCAGTCTTTCTAGCACCCAACATTTGTCTTTATACTATTCTCATTACTAAATAGATAACTGAAAGGTAAGTAGAAGAGACTTAATTAATCCTCAGTACATTTTTCCTACCCTCCAGAATAATGTGCCCTATTTCTGCAACTTTCTTGAATTGTCTGCCCTCCATGCAGGGCAGCTTTACAAAAAAACTGCTGCTAGCACTGGATATGCAGCACACCAAAAACAATTTCACACATACTAAGGAGAAGCAGGATAAACATTACCTGCCTTAAAAATATAAATGAATAGATTACATATGCTAATATGCTATTTTAGCAACAATATAGAATAAGAAATCAAATGACCAATGTAATCATGTTACTAGCACCTTCTAGCCTTCTATTATTTAGCTCAGCTCTGACTGTCAACTACTAAATGTATGCACTGCTTTCGAGCATGTCAAAACGCAGCCAGCCTTGCAGACAAAACCAGTCTGGGCACTCCCACTTAAGAGGCGGAAAAGCGGGTGGTGCCTAGGATTTTACAGAGTAGTTTAACCACCTCAGGAAGAAGGACCAATTCCCTTCTTCAGTGCGTCAAAATAGAGTAGGAACAAAAGACTACAAAATCCTTCAATCTTTTTCAACTAGGATCATCTTGATAAACCTAGATTATCATAGTAAACTGTAATGTACTTATAATAGCAATAAACAATGCATTATAATTAAACAAACATACTACACTGGCTTTGTATATGTACTTTAAGACAGTCTTATTATAGTTCCATGTTACAATAATCTTGCACGCTACCTGTAACATGAACTTTATCGATAGATTTTAATTTCAGTGTAAACATGTAGATGTCATGAACAGACATGCACTTACTAAAGACTAATTTACATTTGTCATAAAACTTTCTCCTCAAAAATTCACTTATCAGATAAAGTTCCATTTACCCATCTTCAGTCTTAAAAGAGACTGAAATTAAGGTGTTTTGACGGAAAGTTAGCAGGCAGGCAAAATAAGAAAACTCATGAACTAAAAAGAATGCATTTGTTCAACTCTGAAGCATCAGTATGACTGGTAACATTAATGTGCTCTTAAAATGCATTCTGTAATTTTTTAATATCATAATACTGAGTTTATACTAAAAGACAAATTCCAAGACATACCAATAGCTCTGATCATAACCCACTGAACAGCTAGGAGTGCAATCTTGCTAATTAGCATCTTGTCTAGTATAGTTGACAGTTCATTTTATTTAAGAATGAACTAGGATTAAAAAGAAGAAAAAAAAAAAAAAAGGACAAAGCAAACTTCATTGACATTAAGTACTTTGTAAGTATTCTTTGGTTGTTTTGTCCACATGAAGGGCTCTATTTAGATTACAAAAGGCATATCTGAAATTTATATCTTCTGAATTGCAAGGCTTTGTTTTGGTGAGAAGTGGAATCTATTTTGAAGTAGGAAAATAATTTTTGTTTAGTGCTTAAAATGCATATTTTTGATCTTAAGAAGAATATGGGATCAGAGGGAAAAAGAGCTGTTACTAGTGACTACTATATCTCAAGTATAATTTACTATAGCCAGATGAAATCAACGATATAAGCCATTTGAGTATACAGCAAGAAAGTTCTCAATTCTGGTTCATGACAATTCGCTACCCTAGTTAACAGTTACCTTTATCATCCTTTGATGTTGTCTTGCTTTCTTTAGACTCCTTAGTAGAACTAGAGAAGCAAATTAAATCAGAAGACAATTGAAAACACAGAAATTCATAAACACTGCATTTTATACTGCTAATACTAATACACACATTAACATTTCAAAAATAAAAATAAAAAGGGCTAGACTGGGTTATACTTGAACAAATGATTCCCTTATGGATTCTTGCACTGATTTTCCCCAAGATGCCTGAAGATCTAGATTTTCTGACAACTCTATTCAGTGGATATATGGCCATCTTCTCCAGATTTCAGGACGGGGACTTGACTTCATTTTGTGTTCTTAGAACTGATAGCTGTTCATTACCATCATCACAAGGACATTTAAGAAACTCGTCAATTTGAAAAAAATAAATAAATGCTGACAATTCGACAATGCAATCAGTAGGACATAGTGTCTATACGAAGATCTTGAATTTTAAAAAGTAACTTATGGCGGTCAAAAAAAAAATCTATAGGCAGGAGCATAGGATACTAATTATAAGATTCTTGCTGCTACCCCCTTAATGTAGAGTGATCTTATTGAATGCTGGTACTCAGTATCGTAAAGAACTGACATAGAAAAACAAACCTCTTTGCTTGACCAGAGGCCCCAGTAGACGAGGGACCTTTCTTCAAAGTATCCTTTTCTTTGTCTCCAGATTCTGCTTTCTTTGAACCTTCTCTGGCTTCCTTCTTGACAGGATCACCCTTCACGCAGTCTTCCTTCTTACCATCTTTATGGTTCTCAGTCATCTCATAGTCCTTGCTTTCCTTCTCCAGGCTCTGTGAAATGATGTCCTGCCCATCTTTTGGCTTACTTGCTTCGGAATCTGTAATTTTCACATTTTTACCTGTTTCTAGGAGGTCATCACCATCAAAATCCAGAGTGATGGCATCTTCAGCCTGGATTGTAACCGATATGTTATCATCCTCAGCTTCTTTCACAGAGGCGTTAGCTTCCATCTCTTCATGAGCCGTGTGATCAGCCTCAGCTAGGCTTTCTTCTGAAGGAAGAGGTTTAGATACTTCTTGTGTACCATCACCAGAACCTGCTTTATCTAAGAGGATTTAACAGGAATAAATATGGCAAAACAAGAAGTTTAAACAATTTCATATGCATAAGCTAGAATAGGACCTAGAAAATACAAAGCCAGTTATTAGCACTGATGGAAGGTTAGAAAAAACACAAGGTGTATTAACACATATATAAATCCTCTACCCAGGATCACTTATTCTTCATGGCAAAACACATTTTCTAGAGACAAATACCAAAACATTAGGGGTCAGAATATGGTTCCATCCTGTAGACACCCGTTCTTCAGAAAAAGTATCCATTTTCCAGTTTAGGCTTTAGTGTGCCATAAGGAAATCGTTGCTTCAGATGCTCACAGTTGGACTTAATCTGTTTTGAGTCTTCTTGGTCTTAGAACTTCTGAGCTTCCCAAATCCAAAAGAGGTACAGTCTTGGAGTATTTCAGTCTTCCGGGTTGGTGTTCTACTTGGCTTTTCCTTTTTCCAGTTGTTTGTCAGTCAAGTCATTGATACAAGGCTGCTGCAGAAAAACGAAGAGTGATCTTTAATCCAGAGTTCGTAGAAAAATGGTTCCATCTTCATCCACTGTAAGGATTTCCCATTCTCAGTCCCACATCGGCGTCTCCAGCAGTATTCTTGGATTTGCACAGAAGAGATGCTTCAGCCGTAGGGTCCCTCGTAAACAAGGAGTCTGTAGTTTTATCCTGTAGCTTCCGTATTGTTTTTTGCATCCTGTGTGAAGTGATGGTGTCCCATGTCCTTTCTAGTCCACTGTAGGTAGAATCCTTAAGACTTCTGTCCAGAAAGTCTGTTTGACCAAATGCATTATATTCCTTCTATAGTTTCACTAACCAGCAGTTTAAAAAAGGTAGCCACTCCACAGGTTTCCAAACACTTGCTTCACCATTTTACATACAACTAGCACTTCCAAGTGACAGTAAGTGAAGCATATGACAATCCATACATTTGTTGGGTGCTCAAGTTCCATGTAAGAGTGTACCATTTCACTCAGTTAAACATCAGTTACTGCAGTGCAAGTTGGAAGTTTTTGTATCAACACTTACCGTATACTAAAGTGACTGTCCTTGATTACTATGCTTTTTTATTTAGTTAAAAAAAAAAACTCATAGTATGACAGTTATTATACATCCACCACAGTAACTGATAAGTACTATAATCAACTCTTAAGAGCAAGATAACTTAACTCTTGAGAGTGAAATAACTACAAGGATTCCAGATGTTGAGTTTAATAGGGAGACAACTGATACTTAGTACTGGAGACAAGCCTACTATTAGTAAAGAGACTGAATATTACAAGAGAAAGTTTTCTAGTCTACCAGACTAAAGATTTTGAACTCTATTAAACTTCAAACATACCTTTCTCATTTTCTTCCTCTTCACCATCCTGCAAAAGAAGGAAGTCAAAACTAAGCATCTCCTACTAAAGTACAACAATTCATATTTTCTATAGAATTTCTAGTAAAGGCAACCAAAAACTGTTTTCAAAGCAACAATCACCTAGTAACCAAGCCTGCACACCCTGTCAAATTACTGAGAGTTTGTACCAAAATTCAATGGTCAAACTTTTGCAGTTTGCAATTGCTTGCTAAGTGCCACTTCCTTAAGTAGGATATTCCCAAACTGCCCTTCATCTTGCTAAAATCTTCCAAATGAAAGTCACATTTGACTTGTACTTCAGTGAAATGCAAGCAAACCCATCATTAGCTTTGAAATCCTAGGAGACCAATTACAAGCTAGACAAACTTCCTCCATTTAGTATTTCAAAGTGAAACATAGTTATTTTAAGAAATTATTTCTGATTTAGATATCATTATCTTTAGAGAAACAAAAGATGCTGTATGAGACATCACTTTTTCAGGCATCAGTTCCACATATTTTAAATTTACTGGAACTCAAAATGAAATTTTGAACTTAGTTTCAAGTGTTAGTATTAAAAAACATAATAATGGTCCAAAGACATGTTTTGAATTTAAAATGGAAGTGCTAGACATAAAAGCTGGCATTTGGCACAGCCTTTGAGTTGTTTAAATGAGCTTAGAAGACATTCTATGTTAAAGCCTATGCACTGAGTACTCCCAGCTGTAGAAGGGTGTAGCCACTCAAAATACAGTATGTTATTTGGCAGTCACAGTTATCTGCAGAATATATACATATATATATGTGTGTGTGTGTGTGTGTGTGTATATATATACAAAAGAATATATCTTCCCGTATTGTTTACCTGCATTGAAAGCATATGAGTCTTTAACACGCATGCTAGAACAAAAAGTCAGTCTAAAATGATCTTTTCTTAATCAATTGAGATGGATAATCTTAACGAAACTGATTTGGAACTTACATGGACAGTTGGAAAAGTATCATCTTCTATGTCTTGACCTTCGTTTTCCTATGAAAACATAAAAGGACTTGTCCAGCAAGCTATTTGCAAATCATTTATAAAATGTAGCGTGAAGATACTCAGTTCACTCAGGAAAACATTTTAGCTTAACAGATACACACTCAGTAAGGTAAACACCAGTGTGCAGATCTCCTGACTTGCATCTTTCAGTTCAGTATTCTCATTATGTATGTTACCAACAGCATCAGGGAAAGGGATGACACTGGCATTCAGTTATGCAGACAGCGGACCATGCTAGAATTTTAGCAGGTACCACTATGTTTGTTTCAGCACTATTCAGATACAAGTGAAAAAGAACAAGAGTGCCACACTACTATTTACACATAACTGAACAAGACAAACTAAAAACAATCAAAGAAAAAACATCCTAATTCTGACTTCCTAGTAACACAGGCATACTCAGTAAAATGTGCATTTTGATGATTAAAAAAAAAAACTTGTGTAAAAAATAAAATAAAATAAAGGTACCTGGTTTTCAGAATCCTTTTCTGTGTCTTCTCTTGTCTCTGGTGGCTCCAAGTCATGGTATCTTTTCTTTTCTGCAGTTGGCAGTTCTTTAGAATTCAAATTCTCATCTTCAACAGATTCTTCAAAGTCCTTTAATTCATCATTTCCATCTTGATCACTTGCATCTTGAGTCTCTAATTCACTTTCCTTTTAAAGTGAACAACAAATATCTAGCATGACTGAGGGCATTAGCTAGATTCGGAAATATTCACTGCTAAGCTCAATGTTTCTACTAAATAATGGATCACAGTTAATCTCAATACTTAATTTATAATCCTACAATGAATTTGCTTACATAAATTCTATAGGTAGGTAACTTGAGATTTGGTTAACCTATGGGTTAAAAATAAAAATAAAAAAACAAACAAAAAACCAAAAGCAAAAAAACAAACAAACAAAAAAACCAAAAAAAAACACACAAAATAAGTTTTGTACATGACAGCTGCGAACGCAAAAAAAAGAATGCTCCAAAGTATCCACAGAAAATATCTGTTACAGAGCATTTCTGAAAAAAAAAAAAAAAAATTTGTTTAAGAAATTTTTAAAAAAAAAAAAAAAAAAAAAAAAAAAAAAAGGAATTTTATTACCTTGACAAAGGAATCTTCTTCAACTGACGCATCACCAGTTAATTCATCAGCTTCCTGCTTCTTACCTGAAACAGATGAAACAGAATATGCTAATTTGAGCTGCTACATCCAACAGGCCTTAATACTGATCACATAAACTAATGCTTTGTATCTGCACTGTTTACTATGATATAAGCCTCCCAACGCCCCCCAATTTTTTTAGGCGAGGGAAAAACATCAAATCAGTGTTTATGAACACCTGATATCAATTCTGTTTCATAAACAAGCAGCTACATTTATGTTAATAAGCTTTACCTCAGACATCTACTTTAAATGATAATGAAATCTGAGAAAGCATTAGAGCATTCTACATTTCTGAAACTACTGGAGTTAAGTAACTTTTGACTTTGTAAAGGTTGGAAAGGACCTCTGGAGCTCATCTAGTTGGCCTCCTGCTTCCAAATACAATCAGATTGCTTAGCATCTCACCTAGCTGTGTTTTTAACTATCTACAAGTACTGAGATGCCACAGCTCTCCAAGCCACCTTCCTCGGTGCTTTTCATCACTAGAAAAACCATCAACGAAAGAGATAGGTCAAGCACTCAGCTTTTTAATATATTCTTTTGCTTACTAATGTCATGTTACATGTAACTGTTCTTCCAGTGTGCGTACGCTTTTTTTCCCCTAATAAAAGTAGTTCATGGAGATGATGACTACCAGAATTCCCTTTGGAATCCTTTGTACACTCTTGATCTTCTACAAAAACAAGACTAAAGAACACTAGCCCTAACTAGCCTGACACATATGCATCATTTTTATAACATTCTACATCTCTGAAATACTCTATTCAAGATTAACCAAGGAGGAGGTTTTCAGTAGCAGAAGGTACAAAGGCAGTCCTGTTAAAAGCAGCTTCTGTTAGAAGCAGCTTGTATTGGAACTTGGTATCAATAAAAAAATACAAATGAAATAACACTCATGTAACACACATGATTTCGCTTTTTCGACAATACTTCTTCACTCATAACTTCATCCACCAAAGGATGGCTAAATAAATTCTACAGATACTCCATAGGAATAAGATAGGAAAACATAGGCCAAAGTTTGATACAGCTTGATACAGCAAGCCTCTTGGAATAGTCAATTTTGTCAGCAATGGATTTTTGTGCATGAAATCTTCTAAATTTGCATTTCTAATTTGCATTTCAAAGCAATGCTCAACTAGAGGACAAGGAAATAGACTTCTGGTTTTTGTTAAGACCAGCAGTACAGGTATACTCAGGGAAGCTATCTTTCCTCAAAGAGAGGTGTGAGTTTGCAAGCAGGAAGGACAGATTCTTAACGTGCATCAACATCTGATATCTGAAAGCAAAAGAAACCCAGATTCTGGATGTTGGTTTTGACTTTCTGTAATAGAATCTGCAGCCACAGACATCTTAGGTATATATTTAAACGGAAAGCAGTGAGACAGACATCTATACACATTCAGCTATTTTCTGTTTTGTCTTTCTCACATTTCAGCTCTAGTTTATTAAACATTAAAGTCCAAGTTATTTCTGCATTTCATATCCCGTTAAGCATACACAGATGTAGGAAAACACTGGCACGGCAGATGCTAGATGCTAAAAGTGTCTATTTAGCATGTAAGATCTTGGAAGCTGCTTAAATCTTCAATTCACTCATTTTGTCTGAGGACATACAGAAACATAGAAAAGACAGTATGATCTCCAGTTAATCCTATCACTCTGCAATGACACTTAGTGGAGTACATTTTAATCTGTGCATCCTCGCCAAGAGGACGTTATACCTCTTAGTAATGATGTCCATTTTTTTGTTTGTTTGTTTGCTACTACAGTAAGGGACAAGACACAAGGACACATTTTCCACACTCTCTCTTTAGCGTGCTTTGCATCAAAATCCATAGTTTATTCCAAGCACCAACAGTATTCATAGAAGACCTAAACAGTGACCCACACTTCCCAGCCACAAGCCATAAAAATTTACCCTGTCAGTTCAGTGTTTCAGGTTACTCTCATCTGGGACAAATTATGCTGTTGGAAAGTGGCACTTCAAGGTCCCAACGCACATCACTTCCATCTGTTGGTATAGGTTTTTAATGGCAGTAACTGCAAAAAACTGCATCCACAAAAATGCAAAACTCTTTCCATATTGGTAGTCATCCACAGTGGCGTACTGAAAGGCATGTTTGGCTTATGTCTCTGGATAACTAAAGTCAGTTCACAACAACTGCCAGTAGTCGTGAATTTATTCAAGAACAGTATCACTTAGAAGAAGATAGATGGGATTAAAAGGCTAGATAACAATTCCTGTCAGAACAACTGGACCCTCTGCAGACAGCAGGCACGGCAGGTCTCAAGTCATACAAGTTGCCAATGCATAATAAAGTTTCTCATGTAAAGATTATTCATCCAGTAGCTATTTAACTGTCAGTGGTATAAACACTGCTCCTTGCAAATCTGGATGCCTGCACTAACATGGATATTAATTTTCATTGGCACAGTGGCCTCCTTCATAAGCCATACTCAACCACCTTTCTGGCAACAGCAATCACTATGTGCTGTAAAATTGCAACACAGTATTAACATAGAGAATGAGCTTCCACCTGAGAAATAAGCAGATGATTTGGAGCATATTTAAAAATGCTAGTTTAACACATGTGGGTTCAGCTTTCAGTTCATTTATA